CAATCACATGTTTTTTTTAGCTTGCCCCAAACCAAAAGTCTAAATGAGCCACGATTAAACTAGGAGTACAACAATACCCATGTATTCTGCAGGGCTCCACTGTCAGCTTAACTGCCAGTTATGAATGCAGCTCCTTTATGAAGAAAGCCTGAAATTAAAAAAAGTATTTTTCTCCATTAGGTGTTATTACTATTTTTTAGGCTGTAACTGTGTGGACTAGTGACAGTGCAGCACCAGGAGGAAGCAGTGTGCTACTCGTTTCAGTGCATTATACTGCTTACTTTTTTTTTTTCTTAACTGTATTTGAAGTATCACTTTGCGCTGTTATGTGGTGACATTAAGTGCCATCCAGCACAACACTGAAAAATGCAGAAATGCTGCATTTTACTGAAGTTCCCTGCATATCACATCAGCATTGCGGTGTGGATGGGGCACATGGAAAGCAATTGTTCTCTATGTGCCTAGGAGTAACCTGCACTTATGAAAAGTAGGACAATTCAGGTTATGGCTGATAGTGTGAACAAATCCTAAATGTTCATATTACCAACTTCCTCTCATATTTAGTTTTTCCCTGTGATTATTTTTGTTTTCTTTTTACATAGTTACAAAGTTAGTCTGGCTGAAAAAAAAGACAAAAGTCCATCCTGTTCAACCAAAAAAAAAATCCATAATCCTACACCCACAGCTGATCCAGAGGAACGCAAAAAACCCAGCAAAGCATGATCCAGTTTGCTCCTGCAGGGAAAAAAATCCTTCCTGATCCCCCTGAGAGGCAATCCCTCTCAAGGATCAACTTTACCTATAAATGTTAGTAACCAGTTATATTTTGTGTATCCAAAAAAGAATCCCGGCCTTTTTTAAAGCAATCCACTGAGCTGGCCAGAACCAACTCTTGAGAGAGTCTATTCCACATTTTCACAGCTCTCACTGTGAAGAAACCTTTCCATATTTGGAGAATAAATTTATTTTCCTCCAGACGTAAAGAGTGCCCCCTTGTCCTCTGTGATGACATCAAAGTGAATAACTCTACACTGAGTTCACTATATGACCTTAATCTCCTCTTCTCAAGAGAGAATAAATTCAGTTCCTCTAATCTTTCCTCATAGCTGATCTCCTCCATGCCTCTTATCAGTTTGGTTGCCCTTCTCCGTACTTTCTCCAGTTCCCCAGTGTTATTTTTGTGAATTGGTGCCCAAAACTGAACTGCATGTTCCAAATGAGTTCTTACTAATGATTTGTACAGGGGTAATATGATATCTCTCTCTCTCTCTGGAGTCTATACTTCTTTTAATACAAAGAGGATTTTGCTCGCTTTAGAAATCGCAGCTTGGTATTGCATGCCATTATTAACACCTTGACGATGATTGCACACAAATATGCGGCCTCTCAGCTTCTGGGCCTTGACGCGTGCAATTAGAAATTACATATGTGCTGAGAACGCGCGCCCTGCGCGCTCCCAGCACATGTGTCCGCGACTCCCGGAAAGGTCCCGACCTCCCCTTTCGATCGGGACCTTTTCCGATCATTTGACCGCCGTGACAGTGAATCACGGCAGTCACATGACCCTAAAACCCCACCCCGCCTCCTGGATTCTGAAACTCTCAAAGGGCCGGGAGGCGCCAGCGCCAAGAGGTTAAGCTTCTGATCTACCAAAACTCCCAGATCCTTCTCTACCATTGATTCCCCCAGTTGTACCCCCCTAGTATGTATGATGCATGCATATTCTTAGCCCTCAAGTGCATAACTTTACATTTATCAACATTAAACCTCATTTGCCACATAGTTGCCCAATTAAACAGTGCATTGAGGTTGGCTTGTGAGTTGGAGACATCCTGTAAGGACATTATTCCACTGCACAGCTTGGTGTCATCTGCAAAGACTGAAATGGTATTTTCAATCCCAGACCCTATATTGTTTATAAATTTATTAAAAAGTAAGGGTCCCAACACTGTTTTGTTTTGTACTGCTCATATGTAAACTTGTACTTCCATCTTGTATGTGTTTTTTGTAGTGCCACATTTAAAAAAAAAACACTCATGGGTTTATTAACCAATGTTTATACTCAGGATTCCCGCAACCTTTACCCAAGATTTACACATTATTGCAAATAAGATTGAATTTAAAAAATGTTTGAATCTTTGGTTAAAGTGTGATACGTAGGTGAAATACCTTGAGAAATGTTTAAAGTTCATCTTTGCGGAAATGAAAAATCCTCAATGTAGAAGCACCACCACAATGGTTAAACGCTTGCTTAGGTCTAGGGAACACAGAACAGCAGTTTTGCTTAACTAATCCTGAGCTCCACCAGCAACGGCACAGGAGCTCTCCTCTACTACCCTAGGCTCTAGCAGTGGACTGTTTTCAGCATGCTCACGTCCAATGCAGGGCTATGGGCTCTGTGTGCCCTTTATGTACATTTAAATTGTTTCTAATGTAACCATCCAGTGCTATTTTTTTCAGATCTATTTAGGCTGCTCAAAACAGAAACATAATGTCCTCTCATGGATAGCTCTACATATTTTATTTGAAAACTCTGGAATATTAGCAATTTGTATATTATTCCTGTAAAAAAGAAACCTGCCTTTTCAGAAATCGTAAATGGAAGCCTGCATATTTCTCTTAACAGGTGTTCTTTAGAGAAAAACTTGTACTAGAAGTATGGAAGTTGCCATTGTTCACTACTTCTAACAATGTTATTTGCCTGGGCTTCTCTTGTTTTTTTAATTCCTAATTCACTGACCTGGAAGAAGCATGCAGAAAATCAGAAGGAAGTCAGAACTCCTGACAAGTATTACTTGTTCCAGGTTTGTGGCTCAGAAAGTACAGAATCCATCCGACTTGCATGACAAATATGCAGTTATCTTCTGAATGAGAGGGTCGCAATGCCAACCTCCATATTCCTTTTCAATCATAGTGAGAGAATTACAGAATTTGCTCTTTGCTGATCCCCTCCTGACAAGACTTCCTTTCTGGCTCTCATTTTTTTACTTTCTGAGTCACTGACCCAGAATAAGTACGTATGCAAAGAAAAAAACTGGTCACCTACCCAGGTCTATAACTGGCTTTTTTAAACAGTGAACATGGAAGGCGTCACAGAGTAAAAAATAGAACTATCCAGCTCAACTTGCCAGCCTACCTCAGTCTAATAATGGCTATTGTCGGCAAGGAACATGGATAAGTATAACTTATCAAAAGGAGGGGGATAAAAAGCCAGTTCAACCTGCCAGCCAGTTAGCCAACTATCAAAAACCAAATTAACCTGTCTAAGAACATGCATTTAAAAACAGGGGTTTAGTTAGCACACATTTGCAAATACATACGTAAGCCACAGAGCCACATCACGGCACCCTGAGTATCTGTGGTCCTACCTCTATAAATCTTGAGAGTCCTCACAATGGAGGCACATGCATTTAAATGGATAGAAACAAGGGCAGGTGAACCTGAGGGAGCCCACCCCTCATTAAGGTCATGGGAGCGCACCTGACACCCAGCATGTAGCACAACGGCAGCCAGGGTGTCCAATGCACCGACTGAACCTCCAAAATGAACATACTGGCTTTCTTATCCCCCTCCTTTGATAAGTTATACTTATCCATGTTCCTTGCCGACAATAGCCATTATTAGACTGGGGTAGGCTGGCAAGTTGAGCTGGATAGTTCTATTTTTTACTAAGTACGTATGCAGTCAGAACTACTAATCTGCATATATGATCCAGGTCAGTAACTCAGAAAGTACTGAAGCCAGAAGATCATCCAGACACAAAGGCTACAAGCATTTGCAGATTTAGGCCTATTAGGATGCTCTAGCTGTACAGAGACAGTCCCTGGTCCCAGTCTGGCAGTAGGGTGCACAGCCCCTTGCGCACACTCTTTACGTTTGGGTCTGCGCACACACATGGCTGTCAAATTGTAACCAGCAGCTGTGTTCATACAACCACTGTATCCCAGTAGACATGAATGGGACTGCCTGCAGGATGATGCATGGAACACCTGTGTGTGAAGATGGCCCTTTGGACCGATGCATGGATTGGTATGCCATGTGAAATGGCAGACTCTATATTTCTATTAGAACATGTTTCCTTTAACACATGTAGTATAGGTGCTAGGATGTAAGTAGTTAGATTAGTGTAATTTGCTTTTCTACCCAACAGGGGAGCTAGTATGTAAATTTATCCTTGGTGTTCTGCTTAAGAGTGCTGCAATCTATTAGTCAGGCCTGCTCATGATGCTGTGTTGCTGTTGAGTATGCCTTGAGCTACTCCTGCCTTCTGGAAGCCACTAGACCTTTCCAGAACATAGGTGGGAACTATGCAAATGAACAGCATGAATGAGCATACAGCTCTGGCCAGTTAAAGGGGGAGGATGGCCCCATTGAATGCCGGGGGCTGGTATTTATATTCTAAGAGCACATGGGCTCAGTGCCCTCAGTGTCCAAGCTTCTTTAATACTACACTGCCATTTTAGTAGAAGACTTCCATCTGCTCCTAGCAAGGGACTTCCCCTAAGACTCCATCTCAGAACAGCTAGTGTCCTCAAGTTGTGAATAGTTTTGTTTCGGAGCATCCTACTGCAAACCCCTAACCTATCCAAGTTCCTCTAAAATAAAACTACAAAACAACAAACCTAGACTGGTCTTGGACTCCAATGAGCTAACAGTGTAGGCACCTGACTGCGGGAAAATACCTTGTGCATGGCTGTCAGCATAGTAGTGAGGAATACTCGGGCAATACTCAGGCAACTCCAGCTACACATAGTTGTGCTATATTTTGCTGTGTGGTTTTGGTTTGGCTATGCCTTAACAGCTGATGTGACTTTGAAGTAGATTCTGAACAAATGAATGGCTAATAATACAGCTCTGTTAGTACACAGGTGAAACCTTTTTATGTACAGCATATTGTCTAGTGTTTTTTGTACCATGTTTTTATGTGTGCTGTTTGGTCTTTAATACTGAATGACTCTTTTGTGTCAGTCTGCAGGTGCAAGTACCGCCATCCACGCTTCATGATAACCAGAAAGAAGAAAACCCAGGACAGCCTCAACGCAACAAAAATGCTTTCTCCATGGGTGCAGGCTGCTTTCTTCCTTCTCTTCTTTTTTAAATGCTTTAGGGCTGTTGAAATACCACTTTCAGGTAAGCCTTTAGCAAAACATTAGGGGGTATTTGAATAAAACAGAAGTGATCTAGAAGATGGTGTTTGAAGTGACATGAAAGACATTCTATAATTTTTTTTTAAATCACATTACTTTTTTGGTACTCTTAAAGTATTTTTTTCATACTTTGTTAAAAAAAACAAAAAAATTGCTATTGTTTAATTGGAAATTGTTATGTATTGTTACATCTGTATTTTTTTTTGGAATTATCGTAAAAATAGCTTATAACACCAGCATTCATTGGTATTTATTCATATACTGGTCTGTGTGATAGGCATTGTATTATTCTTCCTATTTATATTATACAAATGACAACTAACATGAAAATAATAAATAAAAATATATTCAGCTATAAAATTAAATGATATAAGCAGTGGTCCACCTAGGGTGCTGTCTGTCCTGGGGGACAAGACTAGGAGACAGGAGTTCTTAGTCGTGACATCCACTCTATGTGAAGGTCACTGCAAAGCCACAGTAATGTGCCTGCCCTGTGCAGACAACAGATGTAGAGTGGCATATATCGGGGGGAGCTCAAGCTCTCCAAAGCTTTTGTTCGGTTCTGATGTGTCAATACACATGACAGCAGTGGTGTATCTAGGTTTGCACTCCTGTGATCTGTTTTCAGTTGACAGCGGGCTGAAGCCTGCTGTCGACTAACATCACTCAGCTGGTCCAGGCTGGGGAAAGATCCCAACTTTAAAGTCAGGATCCACCCCAGAGTCAGGAGCAGCACATGGCTCAACCTCTGTGCTGAAAGCCTGAGTCTGCTGCTCCCTTCCCCTCCACAGCCCAGCGCTCCATTGAGTGCGGTGTTGACAGAGCAGACAGCGATGACTGATAGTCACCACTCTCTTCTGAGAATTCAGTGATTCAGTGGTCATGTGATCACTGAGTTCTTGCCCTTAGAGCTGGCGGGGGACAGATGCAGCAGCGGACTGATGCAGCATCCACCTAGGTAAGTATGATTTTTAAAACAAACAAAATCCAATACTTCTCTTTTAAATGAACTAATTGTGTAAAAAACATATTCATATTTATATATTCCATCCACATACTGTAAGACACAAAGTGAAAACAGCTAAAATTCATTGAGGGAAGATTCTCAATTCCATTAGTAAATTAACATTGACATCTTTGTGTCTTAGGTGCGGTAGGGTGGAAAATTTTGGAGAGCATGGAGGAAATTTTGCACATGACACAGCAAGAGGAGAAAGTGATAAATCCAAGCAGTAGCGAAAGAATCCTTCATATCTGTAGAGGACTGGTGGTTAGGAACTGACACTGAGATATTGCATCCAGACTCTCTGAGAAATATAGTAATATGGTGGTTGAGTCGACTTCTTTAGCATATACCCAGAACCAGGGGCAGACTGACAACTCATGGGACCCCTGGGCAATAGGGGATCATGGGGCCCCTGTGTCCTTGCCCAAACTCAAAAAAGCCTATGAAAAAGGTACAAGGGGCATCTCACGGGGCCCCCTACTGACCCTGGGCCCTCGGGCAGTGCCCGAGTTTCCAAATGGTCAGTCCGCCCCTGCCCAGAACTGAATTTTTTTACGTGGTACTGTCCTTTAAAGTGTACCTAGCACCAGATATAGTTTTCATGTTAAGTGCATGCATTCTGAGTAAATTGTAAAGCTGACCTTATACCTGTAGGTTTTTTTTCAAACGTTTGGGAGAGAAAGTATATAAATCACACTCCTCCAACCACTTATTTATTATAGGTACTTGTATAGCGATGTCAATTTACGCAGTGCTTTACATACATATATATATCTATAGTACATTTACATCAGTCCCTAACCCTCAAGGGGCGTACAGCCTAAGGTCCTTAACTCACATTAATACATACACATACTAGGGCCAATTTAGACAGGAGCCAATTAACCTACCAGCATGTCTTTGGAATGTAGGAGGAAATCAGAGTACCCAGAGAAAACCCACGCAGGCACAGGGAGAACATGCAAACTCTAGGCAGGTGGTGCTGTGGTTGGGATTCAAACCACTAAGCCTAGTACTGCCAGGCGGAAATGCTAACCATTAAGCCACTGTGCTGCCCAGGTAGTTGGTACTTTCATGAACTGATTTTTAATTACTTTTCATTCATCTACCATGTCAATGTCTTGATTTTTGTGGAACGGATGTTCTACTTCTGGATTGACATGTGTATATGCATGAAACTAGTTATGATTTTCTCAGCTGGGAGAAAATGGAGTAATTAGAAATTTGCTCACAGTAGATTTGACAAAAAAATTCCATTCGTGTCCTCTGATTTATTTTTTTTTTTGCTCCTTCTGATCGAAACCAATTGTCAAATTGTCCCCATTGCCTGTCAGTTAATCAAACAAATGTTCTGAAAATGACAATTTTTTAACAAAAAGTAAGGTCAGCTTAAGGGTAACACTTAGGCTTGGTTCACATATATGCATTTTGCATTTGATGCTTTCTCAAAAGCTTTTTTGCAGTCTGTCTTGCATTTTTCTACGCGTTTTTGACACGTTTTTGCTCAGCTGTTGGTTTTTTTTTTTGTTAAAGTGGAATTTCTTTTGTTGCTGGGAAGAATACAAATGCAAAGTGCAAAACGCAGCAAAAATGCACTACCATGCATTTCAGCAGCTTCTCCATTGAACATTGAAATCGCTGCATTTTGATATTAAAAAAGTCCCTTGTCCCTTTCCAAAAACGCAACAACTTAAAAATTCTGGTGTTTGTGCAGTTTTTGACTGTATTACAAATATCTGACATAGATCAGCTCTGCAGATCAACAAAGTCATTTCATTTCAAAGAGTTACTAAAATATCTTTTAGTTGTCAGATTATGTCATCATTTTTTTAATGCAAAATGTTGTGTTTTTGGTTCTATAGACTTCAAGGGAAATGCTGCAGAAAAGCATGTATTGATTTTTTTGGTTGCGTTTTTGATGCGTTTTGCATTTAAAATCTGCCTAGCAACAAGAAAAATGAAAAAAAAAAATGCAGAAACGCAGCAAAAACACAAGTGCAAAAACGCAATGCAGAAACGCCTCAAACGCAACCTGCAGAGGTGTGAACGTAGACTGAGGAGCTCTTTACCTTATGTGCATTCTGGATGGACATGCCCTATTCTGACATATTTTTGGCTTAGCACTATCCTGATACATTTATTGTCCTGGAACTAACCTGAAAAATTTATTAACCAGGCCCTTAAAGGAGTATTGTTTTAGCTGCCCCAATGACAGCACCATTTGCTACAAAGAAATACGCATGGGATGCTCTCAGCTGCTTGCCACTGATGGTGCTTTTATAATAATTATTATTATTATTATAATACAGGATTTATATAGTGCCAACAGTTTGCTCAGCTCTTTACAATATAAAGGGAGACAATACAGCAACAATACAGTTCAATACAAGAGGGTTAGGAGGGCCCTGCTCCTTGGAGCTTACAATCTAAGAGATAATAATCACAGGTGTGCTTTAAGTCCTGAAGAACCATTGTATGATATTTTCCACCAGTGAAAACTGTATGCAATTTGAATATATGGCTGCACATATTTGGCTGTGTCTAGACAATAAGACATGTTTTGGGTATTTCATTTGTCCTGGAGGCAATAAATAATTTGCGTGCCTGTTCACATTTCCTGCATTTCATTTTGCCTTTACAAGGCAGTAAAATCCATGAATAACTGTTCTGCTATTCGGGAAGCCTTGCTCTCATTTGTTTGCAGTGGAAGGTTTTTGTGGTCCATAGTCCTCGTCATCTTCCATCACTGCAGTTCTTATTGGCTCTACTGCAAGACAATCTGTTAAAGACAGTAGGTTCAATTCACTAAGCTATAATGATCATTATTTCCATCAATGAGAGCCAACAAGAGCTCAAAATATGACTCACACATGTCAAAATAATGACCATTATGGCAAATAATATATACAGTAAGTTATAGCTAAGAATCCATTTATTGTATGACTATGTGCATGCAGTTACATGTTTTTGATATGCATTACTGCATGCATTCATGAGTGTTTTTGTGCATTTTAAGGGCCCTCTCACACTAGAACACAGTGTGGGAAAGGTGTATTTCTGTGTGCATTTCGTGCACAGAGGTGGGACAAGGGGGTGTGCAGGAGAGGCGGCTGCCCCGGGTGCAGCAGTTTACTGTATGGATGGGGGTGCCAGAGAGAATATTCTGATACCAGGCATTTTGACAAACAGATGACTGCTGGGCAGGGGCGGACTGACAACTCATGGGGCCCCCGGGCAATAGGGGATCATGGGGCCCCTGTGTCCTTCCCCAAACTTACAAAAGCCTATGAAAAAGGTACCAGGGGCATCTCATGGGGCCCCCTACTGACCCCGGGCCCTCGGGCAGTTCCTCGACTTTCCAAATGGTCAGTCTGCCCCTGCTGCTGGGGGTAGCATCCCCTAAGCTTGCACATAATGAAGGAGGGGGGCGCAGTTTGGCTTCTTTGCCCTGGGTGCTGGATGACCTGGTCCTGACACTGCCTGCACCACACGGAAATACACTGCCCTTGTTAGATATGAAATATTAATGTCCCCCCAAAGTCATCTAACTAATGCCATGAATTTGAGGCCATCAAACTGCATAATACCAAGCAGTTTGGTGCGGTTTGATTTTTGTGCGTTACCACGCATTTGGCAGCTCTTTGAAATTAATAGGCTACAGGGGCGGACCTTTGATACCTTTCACAGGCTTTTTTCTGTGTGGTTTCAGTGTTGGCTAGGACACAGGGGCCCTATGATTTCCTATTGCCCGGTGGCCCCGAGTTGTCAGTCCGCCCCTGATAGGCTGTCAAAAATGCCTTTAAGGTTTGGTGTCAGATGTACCATCCTGACCTCACCCAGTCTGATTTGGTGGAGGTTGGTGGAAATGTTTTATTTCTGTTAACACCCTGGTATTTGCAATGTAAAATTTACCACTACTGGGTTTTTTTTTGGGGGGGGGGGGGGGGGGGGTTTGCTTTACGAGAAATACTGGGTCT